ACAGGGAGCCAGTGGAGGGATGCTTAAAATGGAGTTATGAGCTTGCGTTTATTTTTACCAGTTAAAAAGGTCTGGCTGACACCAACTAAAAGAAAATAACAATAGTTCAGGCGATAAAAACATGAACCAAGATTTCATGAGAACCTCTGGACAACAGGGGCTTAATCTTTATCAGCCGGCTCAGCTGCAAAAAGGAGGATTTGATCACGGCTTTTACGTTTGCATAAGTTCAAGGCTTGGGTCCATTTTTAATCCTAAATTAGTCACGCTGAACTTTTAGTAAGGGACTCCAGGTCTAACTAATAAAATATGTCCAGATATGACGTCCAGTTACCGGAAGCTACTGGATTTTATGGGTTTCTCCTCATATCTGGTCCATGAATGACATTGGTTCTTGTTCTGATGAGGATATCACGAGTAGATTAATGCCATCTATGTTTTAAATGCAGTTTTTTCCTGATTTTCTATCTCTAACAGCATTTTTTAAGCATTTTGGGAAGTAGTTTTCATGAATTTCAATGTAAAACCAATACAGAAAAAAAAAGCTGGCTGATAAATTGTGCTATGTTTTTTTTTTTTTTTGTCTACAAAAAGGTGAATTGTATTCTGCCGACGTACCAGAAGGTTTACAAGCTGTGCGGGCATTCTGTGTTATCATTGACAGCAGCAGTCCTAACACACCAGCTGTTTTCTCAGTCGCAGACAATAAGGCAGCCAAATCTCTGTGATTTCCACCCTGTTTCTCTTGCCTCCAACACTGTTGGAGAAACTTGTCGTTTCTTGTGGAGATAATTGCTGTTTGATATTGGCTCTGCATCCGGGAAAAATGTTTTGGTGGGTTGAAACTGTTAGACATGAGACTGCTTGTACAGGTGTATTTCTAACCACGTGTCAGTTACCTGTATATTTGACTCTGGTTCTTGGGGTATGATTATAAAGCATTTTAACGATGGGCGGCATGAATCTGAGGAAAACTTTCAAACCCTGCCATCATAGCTCACCTGGACTCTTATTTCCACATATTAACAGATGTCCACAACACTTAGGTGTAGAAAAGCTCTCTTTAACAGTTTTTTTTCCTTTTTGAAAAATCCAGATGTTTAGTCGCTGCTAGTCTGCTTCTCCACTAAAAAATAAAAAGTACTTTTAAACAATATAAGTTGTGTACTTAAATGTCTAGACGTGAGCACTGTTGAGAGTACAGTATAGTATTTAAACAAATCGAATGAAGAAAAAAAAATACTCAGCATTGTGGGAATTCTATGCAAAGTTCAAGAAATATCAAGCTATTACGAGGAGTTACACAACTCCAAAGGGAAAAAAATCTCCCCTTTCATTTTGTGTTTTCTATTATTGTGTTGATTAAAAGGACAAGCTTTATGATTAGTTTTAATTTCAAGTAGGAAAAGAAAGTTTTTTTTGTTTTCCTATTATTTAAGCCATCAATATGTTTTGAGACTAAGAATAAATAAGAATAAAATCTATTTCTACTCTTTTCTTGGATCTTCTTCACTGCGATCCATGTATTCCTATATATTCTTTGTAGTGTCAGAGGCAGAAACCGAACTCATGGAGATGGCTGATGGTTAACCTTTGTAGTTAATGAGCCTTGAGTCTTTGAAGGGGGTTTTTGTTTCTCTGGTGCACAGCCTTATCTGATTATTGGAGTAGTAGTGTGCAGAGTTCCTGGCTCCCAGCCTCTGTCTTATAGATATTATTACTCCTCCAGGTAGAGGTTGTGAGCAGGCAGCCAAAACCATCTTTGTTTAGATTCTCTGTGGGAAGAAATCCTGGCAGCTGCAAGTCTCTTGATGCAGCATGTATTGTTTTGCCATAGTCTCATAACATATTAAAAGTGTTCTGCCCTTTGCTTATCCTTTAGGTTATTGTTATTTTAACCATGAGTGAGATTTCTCTTTGAGGTACATATTTGCTTTATAATTTTCTCTGTTTTTAATTGTATAAAGCAATGTATAAGAATACATTGCTTGTTTAGTGAAATTGCTGCTCAAGTGATCTAAAACTTTAGTTCTCTCTGGTATAGATTTGCTAGTTGCTGACCAAACTTCCACAAAATAAACATCCCCGGGAGTTTAAGATCTGAACGAGCTATTTCACTAAACAACATGACACATTGGACAAAAATGAAACACAAGTACGGTTCTCTAAGAGTTAAAAATCACAGTGGGTGAGTTTGGCTGCAGTGGAAGCTCAGTTTATAGAAGCACTAATTGCAGTCAGACAGGCCTGGACTGGCACTCCAAGCTTTACATCTCCCAGACCTCCTGTCAGGCCTCCCGTCTGCCTCTCAGACCCATCACTATCAATGTCAGCAGCTCCACCAGGCTCGTCCAAAACAGAACAAGGCAGCTTGTTTTGCCTCAAGCTTGCTTTTTGCCTATAAATCTTTGTTTCAACTTTAGAAACACTTCAATATTGTGTCAGGAAGCTAGAAAGCACAATTACAGTGCTGCTAATTTGATGGAAGAGATCCTTCAGTTTTCCTGTAATTACAGGGTAATGTGTGTGTGCAGCTATTAAAGATTCAGCTGTGTAATAACATAAAAAATGAAAGTGTTTGTTTGAAGAGCTGAATGTACTCTACAATCTTATTTCCGTTTTTGTATACCGACTACCACCTCTCTTTTATTTTGTCATTTCCAGCTCCTGTTTTCTACTTTGGAAGCACAGAATACCATGTGGATGAGAGCGATGCCTTTGTAGAGGTGCAGGTGTGGAGAACAGGCTCTGATCTTTCTAAGGGAGGAACTGTCACAGTGCGATCCAGAAAGACTGATCCGCTCTCAGCTGAGGGTACGTGTCTCCATTTCCACACAGCTGTCTCCATGAGATGCTCACATTAAACCACATCACACTAAATGATAGTCTCACATCGCTGTCCCATCACTCTTTGTGTTTTTTAGCTCAGTCTGGATATGTTGAGAGGGACGGTGTGGGGAATGTAAACACTTTAAAGTTTTAAGATTATTGTTATGGATACAATGCAAGTCTTACTGAAAGTGAGTTGCAGGTATGCATGCTTATCACTCTGCATATTGAGAAGCACTTTGGAGAATAGAACTGATTGCTGTTTCCCCAAGTCTTCCCTGCAGCCACTATTATCTCTGACCCCGAGGCAGTTATCCTCTCTTCCATGGATTCCTACCAGCTGTTCTTCTACCTATGCTCCAGCTTTAAAGGGACCCAGTATCTAATCATATGCAATATCATAAAAATCCAAGACCACATATAGCTAGGTTATGAATTTGTGAAATATAGCCTGCAGGTTCAGCTTTCAGTACAAAAGCTCTAGAGCATCCTAAAAGAAGAAACAGTCCACAGTTGGAGAGTTGTCCAGTCCCTGACCTTTCTGTTTTATTTTGTTAAATAAGTTTAGGCAACCATCAAGTGCTCAAATCTGTCAACCATAAAATGGAATATTTTGTCACATAGTAGGAGTAGTTTTATGTTTTGTTTGGAATAACCTTTTATCTTCTTCGATCAATAAAGCTTACAAAGTATGGGAAGTATTTTAAATCTACTGTCTTAAGCTCTTTTTAAGTTTTTATTCCTTAAAGGGATTGTTCAGATTTTGTGTAGTGAGGTTCTGAGGAAAAGAGCTCACAACAGTGAAAGTGTAACATCTTTATACAAGTTAAAACAACTCAAACAGAAAATGTTTCTATCCCCAGGATGCAATATTATATCAAAGTATAAACTTACCAAACTCTCACAAAATGCTTTTTTGGTTTTGTTCCTGTTTGTACAGTTGAACAATGTAGATAAAGTTTGGGGGAGGTTTCTTGCTGCATTTACTCCATTAGGAATCAATTGTTGCTGCTCTTAAAATTCTGATAGATCTTTTGTATTTTGCAAAAGGCTATTTTTGCAATGGCACAAGTGGTAGTACAGTACGTTGCTGTGCTTTTTCAGGGCCCCCTTTGTTCCACACTACCAAATTTCTTTTATTCTAAAACATTTTTGGCTTAATCATTCAGGCTGTTGGACTTGTTGATGTGATTTCAATAAGTATTTTGTTCTTTAAGTGTGCTTGAGTTTTCTGTCGCACACTCCTGCACATATACTTTTCTTAAAGGTCTTAAATTATACTACATTTAACAATAAAAAATGTAGAGCATTTTTTCGTGCTTGAGCAGGGAAAGTGATCTCAGATTAGGCAGACCGTCTGTACTAATAACCTCCTCATTCAGCCCTCTTCTAAGCAAGCTGTTTTAGCTTTCCACACCATTGAACTCTTGAAGGCCATGCCCCCACACCATGCAACCATGTTAACCAGTCAGAGTATGTGTTGATGGCGGCTCTTCCCTCCATTATGGACATTTCATCCCAGAGCTGCATGTCCCGAGCCCCTACCATCCTCAGATACCCCTCACATCCCCACCATGGACTGTTCTCCCTGCTGCCCTCTGGGAAGAGGCTTAGCAGTGCCCACTGCAAAACCAGCAGGTTCCGCAACAGCCTTTTCCCCGTTGCCATCAGACTGCTGAACTGTTGAACTCAAAACTGGTCTCTGAATAACACTTGCAACATTATTTGAAAAACGGACATTGCTGAACTTTTATAATCCTTTAAATAGTAAAAAACTCAACGCTCTACTGCATTTTGCACCATATTTATTTTGCACCACACTTCACTTTTCCATATCAATGCCCTTCTGCACTATTATTTAAAACTGTCTTATTTTTCTGCCACATTGTTTCATTCTCATCACTGCTGCAATTTTAAATTGGTAAATGTGTATCTTACTCCTACTGCAATATCATTACACCGTTGTAAGCTATATGCAATGAAATTTTGTTTTGTATAGACTCTGTGCATACAAAATGACACTAAAGCTGTCTTTGGGCAGCTACAGCCCACTCTGAGCAGCTTATAAGTGACAACAACACACAGCAGGCGCAGATGGGCCAGATAACCGCTCATTGCCAGTCGTTTATGATGTTAAAATCAATAATACAAATGTTTTTATCCCATTGGAAAAGCGGAACAATATACTCTAATCATCTCAATACAGAGCACCGAGCATTCAACAATCCAGTTTTTTAAAGGGACGGCTGGAAACACTAGACTGTAAAAAAAAACTTTCAATAAACAAACAAGGACACCCAGTACCCAGTTGACCTGAGCTGCTACAACCTTCATCTGCTGTAATGAACTAACCGAGCTGCTACTAACAGAAGTCATTTAACACACAATCAGAATGACTACAGATATCATGTTAGGAAAAGACCGTGAAGCACATAGATTATCCATCTTATAAAAACCACCACCTTATCAAAAAAGGAACACAAACGTTAACTGAATTTCATATTTACAGGCTACGCAGTCCAACACAGTAAGGTCATGCAGTGAGACAGGGGAATTTTTTTTTTCTCATTTATGAACCTCATGCAGAGCCTTCAAGTTAGATATGACTACTAGTAAATGTTTATATAAAATGTTTATAAGTGAATTTTGCATGATATGGGACCTTTAAGGTTTTTCTACTAGTAACCATGATTCATGGTTCTATTTATTTTGGCGGGTTTTATGGTAAAATCTCAAGACCATCACTCTGCCATAAACAACCTGTTTTTCTACCTTCAGCTCTTTCATGGATTTCATTTTTGCCCGGTCTCTGTTGTTGACTATTTATTGTCACCTTTTGGATTAGTTGCTAATATGCTTTTAGTAGACCAGCCCCTCGTGTGAAGTTTCACTACTGTTCCATGATTGTTTGTTTTTTGTCTTTATGTCTTGTTACTTGTTCATTATGATTCCACCCCCCAAAAAAACAAAACAAAAAAACAGCTATATTGTCTCTGGCATTGATTGATTATCACCTTTTTTTGGTTTATTTTCGGTTTAGGATGGAGCATAATGTGTTCCTTTTTAAATCTCAGTGCCACGTTTGTATTTTCAGACCGAATCTATTTCAGTGGGGGGTTTTAATCTTATTCTAAAATTTTACTAAAACATGTAGCAAATCAATGGTTTAATATGGAGAAGAAATATGTTTCCAGGACCTAGGTGAATAGGAAGGATTAATGGAATAATTTCATAATCACGCATGTTTTTTGTTTTTTTCCCCTCTGGTATTAAATTTGTTTTCATCATCTAAAACATGTAAACATGACAAAAAGCAAAGACAGAACAAATATGTATTCAGGCTTGTGTTTATATATTTATTTTTGCCGTGACTTCACTTCAAAAAGCTGAAGTTTCTCTTCAGATTATATTTAAAAAGATTGTATTTGATATAAAGCTGACCTGTGCTTTGCTCTGGGGTAGCTGGCCTGGATTATGTGGGGATCAGCAGGAATCTGGACTTTGCACCGGGCGTCACCATGCAAACATTTCGTGTGACCATCCTGGATGATCTCGGTCAGCCATTCCTTGAAGGGCCAGAAAAGTTTGAACTTGTACTGCGGATGCCGATGAATGGAATCCTCGGGGAGCCGAGCAAAACCACCATTATCATCAATGACTCCATCTCTGACTGTAAGCTAAAAGCCATTGTTTAAAATCACACCAATGGTATCTCTGCATTAGTGACTTCTCAATGATTTTTTTTTCAGTGCCCCAAGTGCAATTCCGGCATGCAGTGTATGTGGGCAATGAAAACTCAGGACAGATCTCAGCCATGGTGTACCGCAGTGGTGACATAAGCTACAAGTCAACAGTCCGCTGTTACAGCAGGCAGGGGACAGCTCAGGTGATGATGGACTTTAATGAAAGGCCAAACACGGATGCGTCCATCATTACCTTCCTACCAGGTGGTGTTGCAGAACATAACATGTTCCCCTTCTCAGCTCCACACTCCCTGATGTAAAAAAAAATAAGCAGGATAGAATTTGACTTTTTCATGTGATTTGTTTTTCAGGAGAGATTGAAAAACCTTGTTTACTTGTGTTGGTTGATGACACGGAACATGAGGAGGAGGAAGAGCTCCGTCTCGTCTTAGGGAGTCCCAAGAGTGAATCTCCATTTGGAGCATCTATTGGAAAGCAAAATGAAACACTCATTAAAATCAAAGATGATGCAGACAGTAAGAATATTTAGCTACTTCGTCATATATAGCTGCTTATATATGAGTCAAACTTGAAGTCTCTATGTATTGAATTTTTATTTTAATTATTTAAAATTAACCCATCTTCCTTGTGATTTCAGTCTGACTTATGGTGAATTTAATAGTTTCACTATAACATTTTTTCACAGGACCTGTTATTAGTTTTGGAGAGATCAAATTTAGTGTAAATGAACCAAAGGAGAAGGGTCAAGTCTCGGTGGTAAAGATCTCAGTGTTGCGTGTTGGAGACACCTCTAAGGTCTCTGTTGTCCGAGTGCACACCAAAGATGGATCAGCTACCTCTGGGGAGGACTATCATCCAATATCTGAGGGTAAATATTAATCTCAGCCTCCCCTATCAGACCACCAGCCATATTTATCGGATTTTTCTCTTCTTTTTTTTCTTTTCTTTTACAGAAATTGTGTTTAAACAGGGAGACACCAAGCACCACGTAGAGGTGGAGGTTTTATATGACGGTGTTAGAGAAATGAGGGAGGCTTTCACAGTCCACCTCAGGCCTGATGAGAACATGGTGGCAGAAACAAAGGTCACACTTTAAACTTATCTTGTCATGACTACAAGTCACTTAACATTTTGATTTCTTCTAAAAGTAATTCTCCTGTCTGTCAAACAGCAGATGAGTAAAGCCATCATCTATATTGAAGAGAGCAACAGCATGGCGGATGTGACTTTTCCCTCCATTCCCATCGTCATCTCCCTCTTTAATTATGATGACATCGGACACAGCAGGCCCTCCCCACCTGTGGCTGGATACCCTGTCATTTGTGTCACTGTATGTCCTAAACCACCCCCAACATTTACTTTTCCTTAACAGCCTCAGCTGATAATTAATTTTGTCTTTTAAGCCAAATAAACAAATCTGTTATGTAGGTATTAAAAATGTATATAGATTCTTACTTACTTACTAAGATTCGAGCTTTAATTTCATTCTTTTGGATATTTTTTTTAACACAAGCAGGAAAAAAGGAAATATAATGCCGAAATGTTCTTCTATGGTAGATGTAAGCATCATATATGTAAGCATAGTAATGGTAATTTAAGTGAATGAAAGAATTGTGGTAGAAGAAGGTAGTAAAGGAACAGAGATAATTGCAGCCTGAAGAGGATCGTCAACACATGTAGATGTATTCAACTGTCAAATTTTGTGTGTTATAGGTATTGTGTAGGATTTTTGCAAATTTTTTTAAAAGACCCACCCTCTCCACTTTAAAAAAAAAATGCACATGCACAACCCAGTACCTGCTCTCGAGAGAGACCGTCTATTAAATGCGTGCAAGAGCATACACAAGCCCATTTCTCTTTGTGCATGTTCTGTTTAAAAGTTGCTGTTCTCATAGCTCATACAAGATTACTGTGACCGAAAGTCTGTCCTAACCCCTAAATCCCTCAATCACTATATACAGTAGAGCAGGGACTATATAGTGGACTCTATAGCGAACTCAGTCAACTGACCGTTCAAATAGATGATCCCTACTTTTTGCTCTCTGTTGGTCACGTAACTTCTTCTCCACTGCGCTGTGCCTGCGCCATCTTTGTGATTAGTCACCGCTGTGGGGCAGCGACAGCCTATGGCGGCAGCGGGCCACTGTGACAGCAAATCCCATAATGCTTTGCGAGGAGAGTTCTCCGTGCAAAGCATTCGGGGATATATCTGCCTCTTCTGAGGCCTTTCTTTTCTTCTCATACACTCTATAGACACTTTTTCTCTTATGACCCTCAGCCATTTTCAAAGAACCATGGTGAGAAAGGTGAGCTTCAATTACTAACTGAAACCGTGGCTCACCACAGATGTACACCTGAAAGTGCGCATGCGCAGAAATGATACCTAAATGGGGACGAGCACGTAGGAAGGCCTTACATAAACATATCACCAGAATGATTGACAATTAGTAGGATCACTTATTTTGATGATCCACCTGGATATAAAACATCATCCTCTATACCTTTAAGACACTTCTAAATCACATCTGAAGCAAGCAGATGGTTAGCTGGCTTAAGAAATAACAGCAGTAGCTGTTTATCTTATTTTCCATAGTCCTCATCTCTTTTTAAAGTAAATTCAGTAGTTATTTTATAAATCCAGACTCCAGGAAGAGTTGAGAAGTACATTATTTTAGGACTCAGCTCCATTGTGAACTTTCTATTGTCAACTATGATTTATGATCTCACCAGCTTTTGGCCCATTTGTATCACTTCCAAAGTCAGTCAGAGGTCTAGCAGAACATTTCAGAGTACTTCATTCGTCCATCAGCTGACAAGCTTTATAGAGAATATTGATGTTGCAGGACCTGGGACCTGCTAAAAGTAACAGGAATCTACCTGCTATAATAACTATGACATACACATGATCGGACAGCGAATTAAAAAACTGAGGATGAATATCATCCAAACCAACTCTAAGAAATCTCCACAAATAAATTCTATACATTTTAATCCCTTTAACTTGAAGTTTTTTAAAAGAAAACACATTTAGATATGTGTATGGATGTCCTTGCTCTTCACTTCCACTCTTTTCTTTCCTCTTCCAGGCCTGTAACCCGAAGTATCCAGACTACCACAAAACAGGCTCTATCTGTGTGAGCGAGAACATCAACAACACGTTAACACGTTATCGCTGGCTTGTTAGCGCCCCCACTGGCCCAGATGGTGTCACCAGCCCAATGAGGGAGGTGGACTTTGACACTTTCTTCACCTCTTCTAAACTCATAACTCTGGACTCAGTCTATTTCCAGGCTGGCTCCAGGGTTCAATGTGCAGCCAGGGCTGTGAACTCTAATGGCGATGAAGGCCTGGAACTCACCAGCCCCATAGTGTCAATCAGCACAGATGAGGGTGAGTGCCCCCATTCCTAAACATCAACTATTTACATATTGTATTTAAGACAATGTAACATGGCTGCTGTCTTGTATTATGTCTCCCACTGATGTTGCATTTTGATTAAAGGTATTTTTTTTCATATGTTGCTTTTTTTTTTTTTTTTAGGAATGTGTCAGCCTCGTGTTGTAGGCACAGTTGGGGCTGAGCCTTTTTCTGCCCGGCTACGATACAGTGGAGCAGAAGATACAGACCATCCCAACCTCATCAAATTAACTGTCACCATGCCTCATATTGATGGTAAAGAAGCAGCATTAATATTAGAAATATGTTTGAAATACCTAAAAGCAGGCCTTCTTTATGAGCTTTTTCTTCATTTCGTGCTACATGTCAAAATATGAACAAACTAATATGTAGATAGTGTTGCCAACTGTCCCTTAAAAAAGAAACAAACAAAAATTATGTGTCTGATTTAATTCATGTTTGATTTATATGTTTACAAATCAATCGACACATACAAGAAAAGGCTAAAATAAATTCATAATATCAGTAGATGGCCAAGAATGATCCCTTATTTAATTTCCACAGAGTTGAAAACCATGTTTCTCAAAGAAGCATATGGTTATGGATTGAAGGAAGAGAAAACCTGTTTTTAAAATTTCTTACAGATAAAAATCTGAAAAGTATTCTGTGCATACATATTTGCCCACCTTTTCCCTGATACCCCATTATGAAATAATCGAAGGGCACTGTCTTCAGAAATCACCTCATTAGTAAATAAAATCCCCCTCTGTGATTTAAACTTCTCAGCAGGCCTGTAAGCATTTGTTGTAAATGAGAAAACAGCAGACAGGTCAGTTAGGATGTGTACAGGGAGGTTTAGATAACAATTGGATAAAATCAGCCTCCCAAACTTTAAAGATCTCACTTATCTCTGTTCAAATATAGAAAAGTAATGGGATACATTGCTACAGCCTAAACTGGCAGACCATACAATAAGGGTATAAATCTGAGAAACGGCCAAATGGCCCAAGGTAAAGCTGAGCTGTGAACAAAGTCAATACTAAAAGGAAGCTATGAGCGGTTACCTGTATATCTGAAGTTTGCTGCAAGCCATGTAGGAAACATAGCAAAACAGTATAAGGAGAGTTGATGGTAGAATAAGACCAAAATATACATTTTTGGCCTTCATACAAATTCATTTTATAATGGTGAAAAACGCAAAACAACTTACTCCTGTCAAATACAGAGAAAACTGAGATAATTGTCTTTTGACCACAAAAACCCAGAGAAGTTGTCATTGGTCATCGAATCTTTCCTTAGAACCAAAAAAATGAAGTTAGAAATTTCAGGGTAATCATGGACTCAGACCTGAATATCAACAGTCATATTAAGTCCATTACATCAGCGTCCTGTTATCATCTCAAAAGATTACTGAAATAAAAATCATAGTGTCTAAACAAGACTGGGGGAGAATAATCCATGCATTTGCCTCCAGCAGGTTAGACTATTGTAACAGCCTGTTTACTGGCCTTTCCAAACAAGCTGTTAAGAGACCCGCAGTTTATCCAAAATGCTGTAGCTTGAGTCCTCACCAGAACCAGAAATACGACCATATTAGTCCATTGCTTAGGTCTCTGCACTGGCTTCCTGTGGCTCAGAGAAAAGGCTTTAAAACAGCTCTACTTTTGTTCGAATCTTCTCATGGTTTAGCACCGAAGTACATCTCTGACATGTTAGAGCCGTATAAACCACCTTGGGCCTTGAGATCCTCGGAGAGGGGTCTCCTGGTGGTCCCTAGAGTCACCACTAAACATGGTGAGGCTGTGTATCATTCTCACGCAGCTAAGGTCTGGAACAGCCTCAGTGAAGATGTAAAACAAGCCTCAACCCTATGTTTAAGTCCAGTGTAGTGTCACCTATGGCAACTGATTGTATTTTACCTATTCTTATAATATGTATTGATTGATTTGTTTTATTGTTTTATTGTGTTTGTTTTGTTGGTGTTGCTGTGAGGCACATTGAGCTGCCTTGTGCATGAAATGTGCTGTTTAAATAAATTTCCCTTCACTTGCCTAATGATAACAGCCCTTTTGATTAAAGCATTTTAATGTTATAATAACCCAGTTAGAGTACAGACCTAAACTGAAGAAAGAATCTATAAACGCACTTAAAACTTGTGCTCACAAACAATCTCTATTCAGTTTGACTGAATGTAAAATGCTTTTTGATTGAAAAGGATAAAGCCATTGGTTTCTAGCTCCCCTAAGATTTTCTTAAGGTTAAAAAAAGAGCTAATACAAAAAATAGCGTTGATCTATCATGTTAAGTTCAAATAAAATATATTGTGTTGTTTTAAACATAAGATTAAGAAAATTTTTGCTAAAATATATTCATACTTTCTTTTACACCCTTGTATCCTCCGACAGGAATGCTACCTGTGGTCTCCACCCGACCCCTTTCTAATTTTGAGCTGACGCTGAGCCCTGACGGGACCCGTGTCGGCCACCATCGTTGTTCCAATTTGCTGGACTACACTGAGGTCAAGACCCGCTACGGCTTTCTCAGTGAAGCCACCAAGAATCCAGAGATTATTGGTCAGACGGCGCCCTACCAGTACAGCACCTCCCTGAGGGGATCCAGCACTCTACGTTTCTACAGAAACCTCAATTTGGAGGCTTGTTTGTGGGAATTCACCAGCTATTATGATATGTCAGAGCTCCTGAGTGAATGTGGAGGCACCATCGGGACGGATGGACAGGTGAGAGTCATTGGCTTTGAGCTTAATTCCTAGAGATTTGACTCAATTTAGAATAGCCTTTCAACCTCTTGATGATAGATATAGGATCTAAGAAGAGGCTCATGTTGCTGTTTGTCTTTATTTTATTCATAATCTTATCAAATTATACCTTTTCAAATCCCACCTAATGCTCCTAATCTGAGTACAAAGATGTCAAGAATCCAATTATAGTTTGTAGGTTTATCCTCTCAAGGAATATGAAACCCATACCTGCTTCTCTTTGTTCTTAGAAGAGCAAGTTATTTGTCGTGTAAGAGTGGCAGATAAATGGCCCGCAGTCTCAGAAAATCCTCTGTTGGTTTTTTTGCCCCATACAGCAGCAGCAGCTGTTATACACAGCAGAGGGAGGAAACCCTGAAATCTCTCCCTGGCCTTCTGGCTCTCATGCCTCACAGCCTTCAACATTTGCATTCACCTTGGAAACTTGCTCTTAGTTCACATTGAGTTAATTAAGGTAGAGAGTGGATAAAAGAGGTCTATAAGAATTCAGAGGGTGCCTTATGTTGAAAAACTGGGATCCCTTTAGGGGATTAGTAATTTAACCCTGAAGCACTGTGCCACTACTGTTTTCTACTTCGCTCCCCTGCTGGAGCCAATCGGTGTGTTTAGTTTTCCAGTATAATGTGTGAATTTCATTTTGCATAGCTTCGGGTTTGTTTTTATAACAAAAGCATCACCCGGGTGATAAAAACATTTTTCAACAAGTGGAAATGTGTTGCCGGTAACCACATAATTCAAATTTGGACGTGGCAGAAAGGAACTTGTCTTGACAGGTAATTAGCCTGCTGCCTGGTAAAACTTTTCATACCCGTTCAACCTTTCCATTCTGTGACAGCCACAGGCTTTAGTGAACTTCTGAGAAGCCTATGTGACACCAACACATGGTAGTTCATAATTGTCGCATGGAAGGAAGTGTAGTTTGCAGTTGTATTTAACATGTGTGTCAAAACTTCTGAAGCACCTTTCTTCTTATATTACAGCCGCAAGTATTTTAGGGTAAGAAATGTGTAGGTTTATTTTATTTTATTTTTATCAAATCTAAAGAGACCAGTTCTTCCTTTCTAGCTTACAGCTAAGCAGTCAGTCTACCTCATGAACATACCCTGGATTCACCCATGATATTGTTACTCTGGCTGTATGATTTTCTGTCCTGCTGGAAGGAGGATCACAAATCTTTTGTAGGCTCTTACAGCTTTTCTACCAGCATCACCATGTTTTGAGCTAAAATCTAACATATTTGATCTGCTTTTTTAAACCTGCTGCAAGAAGGTATCTTTTCGGCATGATTCTGCCTCCACTTTGGTATGTAATTAGGATAGCGTGTTTAGGGAGTGAAAAGGTTCACTTAAGTCTGATCTAATCAGAGTACCTTCTCCCACATGTGTCTACTACATGACACGTGATGAAATGTAAAGGAGACTTTAAATCATTCTTGAGTAAAGGTCAGATTTAAGGAGCGTAGGACTTCCACATTCTTCCACCTCAGCTGTGGGTTTCTGCTGCTCCTCCTTGGGCGTCTCATCTGCTTCTATGATTAATGTGCTCCTGTGGACTGAGATGTCTTGTTGGGTTTGCAGTTTTTGGTATGCTTTTTCTTATTTTAGATGTTGGATTAGATAGTGTTCAGTGAAATGATCAAAGCTTGGTGTGTTGTTTTATAATCTAATGCTGCTCTACAATTCTCCAAAACAAAGCCCTGAGGCCTTCCCAAAACAGCCATATTTATACTTAGATTGCACTGCTTTTTTTAAGGGGTTAATCAATAATTATAATTATGCTTTTTAGATTTTTGAGGGTAAAATCTATGGACCAGGTATTACTTTCTCATTATCTTCAAAATTGCATGTTTTTTTTTTACAGAAATACATTGCAATTGGTTAATACAACACCATATGAAGCTTTTGAGAGGCACTTTACACCTAAATGTAAATCAGCCACAAATGGTAGAGTTCTATTAAATATCGTTTTATACACTATATATAAATAAGAATGTTGTGTGCATTTTCTTCTCTGAATAAAAAAAACATCATTATTCGAGCATAAAATCAATAATCAGTTAACACACTTTTACTTTGCACAGCCTCTTTATTAATTCAAAGTCAGAATAAATATAGAGGTAGATTTATAGAAGGAAAGCTCCACTGGCTCAACTGAAAAGAGAAGAGCCTTTGGTTACCGATGCCCTGTGACCTGAGTAGCTGCTCTTAGCAGGCTGGCAGGCTGATTGGAAACGGCTCAGTAGAGTCTTGCTTTAGTGTCATGTCACAGTGCGGGGCTTAGTGCCCAGCTTAACAAGACCCCAGGAATCTATTAAGACCCAGCAGGATGTGTCAGAAGGCCATTCAGCAAATCATTCGGCTGAGCTCTAAACGCCCAAAGGCGTAGGCACGTCTCCACATGAACACAAAGCTAGTGCAGGCAGGTACCTCGCTCAGGTCAAAGGAAAGTGCAGACACCAGAAGGCGCTCTGTCAGACGACTTTGACCATTTTAGGACAGCTCTTTTTAGAGAATGAAACATTTATTACAGCATCTGTGAGATATTTGCAAAAAAAGAGCAAACACAGAGCTTTGTTATTCATATCCAGAATGCACTGGATATTTCTGCTTCACATCAGTAATTAACTTGTTGCCTCCTTGAAGAAACATTTACTGCCATAAACTATGTAAATAGCCGATAAATTATTAATGTTTGACTTTATCAGTTGTTTTTATCCAACAATATTCAGATATAATACCAACATGTAGTTTTATACTTCAAGTATTACATGTAGCCCTTCAGTATCCAGAACTCTCTTTTGTGAAAAGGTACATTTAACAAGTTGGTCAGTCTCACAACAATTCTCTGTTTTCTCTGCAGGTGCTGAATCTCGTTCAGTCCTTTGTGACCCTTCGAGTCCCACTCCATGTCTCCTATGTCTTCCACTCTCCTGTGGGAGCAGGAGGATGGCAGCACTTTGACTTGCAGTCTGAGCTGAGGCTCACATTTGTGTACGACACTGCCATCTTGTGGAGAGATGGTATTGGGAGTCCACCTGAGGCTGAACTGCAAGGCAAGTTTGGGAAGGACGTTGAGCAGAGGTGTCAAGTAACTAAATATAAATACTTACATACTGTACAGTACTTGGGTAGCTTTGTTCATTATTTTTACATTACTTGAGTAGATATTTTTTGAAGTACATTTTATTTCTACTTCTAGCATCTAAACACAAATATCTATACCTTTTACTCCTTACTTTCTCCAAACCAGCTTGTTGCTTCTATACTTATTGATAATGGCATGACATAACAGCTGCAACAACAGAGAGAGTAAACCGAGAGCCTTAAGAGAATCTGTCCAGTTGGAGCAGATGTTGCAAATATTGAAGGAGATAATAAATTACTGACAGCAGCATGCATTAAGAAATGCGGGCTGGAAAATTATTAATTTTTTTAGATTATCAATCGGATTCTGAGACTTTAACCATCCATCCCATCTTCAGTAGATTGTAAATTTACTTCCTTATGTTGCAAGGTGTATTTTAATTTCAGTACTATTTGCAGAGTTATAAATGAATACCAGAATTCTGCATGTATTCAGCCTGTTTAGTTCAATCTATATTATCATGTCAACAAGGTAAGCATGCAGTTGAGTTATAAATATTCAAAGTTATACAAATGGATGTCATGTTTTTCCTTGAAGATAATTGTTTTTGGAGAATTATTTGAATAGTTATTTTGTATCTTTAAGATATAAACTTTACTTTTGTATTTAAATACCATATAAAACTTCTTTACTTCTTCTTAAGTAAAGGTGTTTGGCCTGTAACTTTACTTTTCACCTGTCTTTTCTTATATAGATATCTGTACATTTACTTAAGGAAAGTAAATGTACCTCTGCAGTTGAGTTATAAATACTAGATGTTATAAAAGTTGATGTGTCATATTGAGCGATGGTTAAAATGTATTGAGTAAATTAATAATAGCATTCTTTCATTGTCTCTGCAGGCGCCCTCTATCCAACTAGCATGCGTATAAATGGACTGGGGCAGCTTGTAGTTAACTTCCGTACTGAGGCTCGATTCAGAGGGCTGTTTGTGCCTGCGCACCCAGGTATACTACGTATAATTAAAACCAGAGTTAATGTGATATATCACTGTACTAATGCTACAGTATTCTAAGTAAAAGTTATGTTTTACTGATGTATTTTATTTCCATTAGGTTCCCCACTGACGTCCATGGTCATGTGTGCAGACCACCCTGGTTTAACATTTAACCTTAGCCTTACTAGAACTGAGCCAACCTACAGCCAGCCCATTCAACAGTGGACATTCATCTCTGATTTTGCTGTAAGCAAAACTTGTTTTTTTGTATATATAAGCTTTGGAAAAAAGAGTAAAAAATTCCTTATCTGATTATTTATTTTTTTTGTTCTTAGTTTTAACAATTCTTCCTGGCAGGATATCTTGTACTGTTGGGAAGGCTCTTGTCTAACCTTACATGGTGACACGTTTGATAGAAAAATGTATTTAGGGCTTAATAAACAAAATTGACCAGACAACTTTAGGAAGAAATGACTAGATTAGTCATTATTTAAGACAGCCTCAATGCAGAGAGATCAAGATGAGATTCTGAAACTAGGGGTATTTCCATGTCTTCACTGTTAGGGACCAAACCTTATCCTCCAAGTGGTAAATGAGGCGACATGGAGAGTTTAGATTAAGAGAATAGAATGTTCTGTCTGCAATCCTGGCCTCAGTCCCACTGAACGGTATTCTGGTCATGGGAGGATGACAAGAGAAGCATGTTGAATGACTTGTTACAACTGCTGATCGAAGCATAGGATGCATTCTCACTGCAGTGCATGAACAATAGTGGCCATCATGGGGTAGGCGTTTCAGACTGCTTTGGTTCTGTCCAGTTTTTTTCATGCTTTACTGAGGTTAATGAATTTTTCATACAAAACTATCCGTGTGTAAAGGGAAAGAAGTAGGCTTACAAAAAAAACTATTTTGCTGAGCATACATCTGTTTTTTGTTTTTTCTTTTGTTCTGTTTTTTGACATATGGTTTCTCCTATCTCAGGTGCGTGACTACTCTGGTATGTACACGGTAAAACTGATCCCCTGTACTTCCCCTCCAAGCTTGGAGTACACCCTTCCTCCCGTCTGCAGTCCCAGAGAGCCTCTCACTTTTGATCTGGATATCCGCTTTCAGCAGGTACCTTCATTCACCTGGATAAATCTGAATATAAGGAGCATTAGTGACGCTCCATTTAACAGGTAATATCAGATCTAAATAACACAGGGTCATGACAAAGTTGAACATTTTATTAAAGTTAACTAATATGTGTCTAATTTGTTCTTTCACTTTTTAAGTTGAAACAAACACTGAAAAAAAAGAATTGCTTTTTTTTTTTATAAATTCGTTCCATAAAATAATATAGAAAAAAAGAGAGTATTTCCTTTTTTAATTCTTCATTGCCATACTAAATGAAACACATAAAGAAAATTAAAGAATGTGCACATTCACTTTACTTTAATGTTGTTTTCAACTCTTATAGCATCCAATCTTTATGAGTGCTATCTGAAATACCTCAACCTGTCCAACACTGTATCGAATAAAGAAACATAATCAGCTGTTCTGCTGCATTAAATAAATAAAATCACTATCAAATCAGTTCAATGATAAAGTCATTAATACATATAACAATTGTACTGGGTTATTTTATTAAATCCAAAAGCAAATTTTGAAAATACATTTTTTTTATTTTTTTTTTATCGTTAGTTTTCAATTAAAAAATTGGAAGACACACATTTTAACTTTATGTTTTCTATGTGTAGCACCTCAATGTAAAAACACTACTTGGCGGTAAAGCATTTCTCTTTTGATTAATTAATTAATCCAAATAATTAATTGTATGTCAATAGTCTTTTAAAATGAGGAGAAAGAGAAAAGAAAGACATTTTCTTCATTTTTTAGAAGTAAAAAAGAAAAAGTAGGTTTCATCACTTTTTTTTTTTTAAATGTATGCTGTATTAAATGATGCCCATTGAAATCCTTGACTTTGCCAATATTTTTTTTAAATTAACTAGACTTATTTTTTTGATTTTCCCTGTGCTTGATTTTCTACCTGATTGCAGGTTAGCGACCCCGTTGCTGCTGAATTCAGTTTAAACACACAGATGATCCTGTTGTCTAAACGGACGCTCTGGCTCTCAGATGGCTCTATGGGCTTTGGACAAGAAAGTGATACTGCTTTCTCACAAGGTAAACTACAACAACATGAGGACATTTGAACAGGGAATTTTTTTCTAGTGGTCCTATTTCCCTCGACTGGGACTCAGATTCAGTTTTAGCGGTTGACTCTTATGAAATATAACAAATTATGACTTTTAATCAAGCTAAAATAACACTGAGTAACCTCTTGCTGCTATGTAGGATTTATATGCAATCACATTCCCACATTTCTTAACAGGAGGTTATGAGTAGATGTAAGGAATCTGCTTTAAATCCTTGGTAGTCAAAGTGGGGACAGCCCTATAATTAGCTAAAGGGTTTAAATGACCAACCTCTATTTCTTGCCACAGTGAACAAAATAATCAATATAAATTATTTTTTTGGTGATAACTAAAAAAAACAAGAAATACTTAAAGGTACACTGCAGACTTTGTAACCTAATGCATGCGAGTTATTTTAAATGATTCCTCATGCCAACATACAGGGCTTAACACTATGATATGCTATAAGCAGGGCTCCCCTCTTGAAATACCGACTATGTAAGTTGGGAGAAGACGCACCGTTGTTGGCCAGGTCATGTGACCTGGAAGAACATATCACTTTACAGCTACAGGCTCTTATATAGTGATGAAGCTAAGGCTTTTGTTCTACTATTTTTCCGCCCGTTGAACTACTGCTCATGGCTGAGGCAATGAAAAAGTTTAAACCTACCGAGGAGGCTTAAAAGTACAACAGAGTATTCTGGCAAGGCTAGTGATTTTTTTTTCTTCTATTTCGAGATTAAAGTTATGACATTACGAGAATAAAGTCTTAAAAATACCACAATAAAGTTGCAACGAGAATAGTCATAACATTAAGAGAATAAGACCTTTCACTGGACTATTGTTTAAAGTCACACCGTGTAACCTTAAACCAAAGTTAAAGTTCCCTTTGCCAGTTTGCAAGTATAAGTACCCTTCTTTTAAATGTCATGTTTTTTTCCAGGTGATATGATTTATGCCAGAGTGATGGTGGATCCAGTTCAGAACTTGGGCGACTCCTTCATTTGCAACATAGAGAAAGTGTTTCTGTGTACTGGTGCTGATGGATACGTCCCAAAATATAACCCAAGCAACTTTGAGTTTGGCTGCCTGGCTGATGCTCCATCACTGCTGTACAGGTTCAAGATTATTGTGAGTAAAAGAAAATATTCGCCCCTTCTATAATTGTGTGTGTGTTTTGTGACCATGTATGATTTCATGAATCTGTGATGGCAGGACAAGGCCCAGCCAGAGACCCAAGCCCGTTCATTTGGTAATGTTGCCTTTAATGCCTTCCTGGCAGTGGATGACCCTGGTGCTTTAGCTCTGGTTAGACAGCCTGGAGCAGATGGTTTTAGAATGGATTCTGCTGCTCTCTTTCAGGTCAGTTCTCATATTCTCATTACAATCCTACTCTGGGTATCTTATGTCATTTTTAAAATTTCAATTAAACTGGTACGATTACAACATTCCTGCTAAAAGGAATTGTAAATGATTGAAATAGACCAGAGTCACTTGAAGTGATTTTAAGACAATGTTTCTCTGGACAGTTTTTCTTTTAACAAGCTATAAAAAATAATTTAGCAGAATGCACTTTCTCCATTCTGAAAGGTTCAGACAGTAGATAACCCTGGCTTCTAATGGCTGAAATAACAGTCAAGAATGACTCAACATTTTCTTTCCTTCTAATGGGCTGGAATTTCACCAGAACTGTTTTCAGTTTAGTTTTTTCTGTATTTTCTTCTCTTACTGCATTTACAAATCATGTACATTGAAAAATAGAGCTGATAAAAAATAAGTATATATAAAATGTTGTATTTACATCATGTCTTAATTGCCTCTTCAATAAAAAAAAAAAGGTTAAAGAAAAGAGAACCTTTAGATCTACAGTACAACTAGAAAGACATTTTTCCAAAAGCCTGAATATGTCTGCTTTATTTGATATAACGGCAGAATTTATGGACGCGGCATCATATCATATTGCTGATATTAACTAGTTAAATGTCAGATTAAATCTTATTGTTTGAAGAAATCAACAAGAATGAGTAGATATCAAAGGGGCAAGCAGACAGTGAAGCATTATTTTTGAGTGGGTTCCTAAACAGATGCTTTACAAAAAAATACAAAAACTGTTAAAAGATATGTATTAAACAGATTTAGTAAAACTCTATGTAATGAGCTAGCGTTAAACATCTATATACTACCGGTAATTAAAATTGGCCTAAGAATAGATCCTTGAGGATCGCCACTGCATTCCTGGTTTGCCCAGATTTTGGATTAAAATCTCTGCCATCTACATGTCAATAACTTTATTTAAGCACCATCAGTATTCAGTTATGTGTTTACTTGAATTGGTTTCATTGATTCCAGCAAATATAGAATTAATGGTATTTTATCTGAATAGTTAATTAAGACAGATAAAGTGCCTTGAAAGTATTCGGCCCCCTTAAACTTTTCAACCTTTTGCCACATTTCTGATTTCAAACATAAAGGTATTAAATAAAAATGTTTGTGAAGAATCAACAAGAAGTGGGGCACAATCTTGAAGTGGAACAAATGGTGATATTTTAAGCACATTTGCAGACTCCTAAACATTTTCTTAAAGAATGTTCCTGTATTTGCATCCATGCATCTTCCCCTCAATTTCAACCATCTTCTCTGTCCCTGCTAAAGAAAAGCAGGCCCAAACCATGATGCAGCCACCACCATGTTTGACAGTGGGGATGTTGTGTTCAGGGTGATGAGCTGTGTTGCTTTTGCTTTAAAAATAACATTTTGCACTGTTGCTAAAAAGTTTTGGTTTCATCTGACCAGAGCCTCTTCTTCCAAATGTTTGCTGTTTCTCTCATGTGGCTTGTGGATAAAGTTTAAAAAATGCCTTTTTTATTGATACCTTTAATAAATGGTTGTCTTCCATAAAGGCATAGGTTGCCACTGCATAGATTGTTGTCCTATATACAGAGTCTCCAGCATCAGGTCTAGATCTCTGCAGTTCATCCAGAGTTATCAGTCTTCTTGGTCGAGCTCAAAGTTTAGTGGGACGGTTGGTTCTTCATAGATTCACAGTGGTCTAATACTCCTTCCATCCCAATACTATGGCTTGCACGGTGCTCATTTGGATTTTTAAAGCTTGGTAAATATTTTTTGTACCAAATCAGGCTTTAAACTTCTCCACAAAAATATCTTGGACTGGCCTGATGATTTCCTTGTTCTTCATGATGCTCTTTGAGCTTTAAACAGACCTCTGAGTCTATCACAGAGCAGATGCATTTATAGTGAGACTTGATTACATACAGGTGGATTCTATTTATCATCATCAGTCATTTAGGTCAACATTGGATCATTCCGAGATCCACACTGAACGTCTGGAGCGAATTTGCTGCACTGAAAATAAAGGGCCTGATTAATTTTGCACGCCCTACTCTTCAGTTTTTTATCCGTTAAAAAAGTTTAAAATATCCAATAAATTTCATTCCACTTCATGATTGTGTCCCAATCATTGCTTTTTTTATTTTTTACAAAAAATAAAATAAAATACAATTTTATGTTTGAAGCCTGAATTGTAGCAAAAGTCGAAAACTTCAAGGGGGCTGAGTAATTTGGCAAGGCACTGTATATAGCTTAAATACAGCATATGAAGCTGTCGTTTTCCCACTGTCTTTAACATTATATAATTATGGTGATTTTGTAAATAATTATTGTGAATAGAAAAATGTTTAAAAGTGAAAGGGTTAAATACAGTAAAAAAATGTCAAAATGATTTGTTTAGGTATAATTTATCTCCTAGATGTATTAAGAATTATTAAGTTGTTTCACAAAGGTTGTATACCCTAAGGCCAACATTATAATATTTATTTTTCAGTATCATAAGAGTAAGTACACTGGTAGGCATGTTAAGACTGAAGCTCCTTCTTAGAAATGCTTCACTGTTCTTTACACCTGTTTCACTTTTGATTTTGGTAACTTAGGTCCTGTTCTGTGTGGTTGAAGCAGGGCCAAAATACAGAAAGAGACTTTTGTTAAGAATTTGGAAAGTTTAGTAATATAAATAGAGAAGATTTTGCACAGTGAGAACAGGGCATGGAGAGCAGGCAAAGTAACAGAATAAAACAGCAAAAAAAAAAAAATCAATAAAAAAAAATCAATGAAACCTGTGAGCTTTTATGCTGAGATCAGAATGGAAAAAGACAAAGGATGCAATTGACTTGATCTGTGGATTAGAAACATCTTAAGACAAGCAAATAGGCACACTGAATGAAATAAAGTAAAGTAAGCTGAAATCAAAGAAACCATACACCAAAGGGGAAAGAAGAACACTGGTGCACTGCAAAAAAATTTAATCTAAATAAGTAATTTCTTTCTTAAAATTAGTGCATTTTTCCTTGAATCGAAGAGACACTTTGCCAATGGAACAAGACATTTTACATTTAAAATAAGAAAAAGCAATGACATTGTCTTACATTTTGCATTGTGAAAGAGAAACAAATGGAAATGCACAAAGAACAGAACATATGAACTAAAAAAGACACAAAGCAATTGAATAATATGGTACCTACTGTATATTTAGTAATAACACAAAGAGAGGAATTGACTACAGCAAGACATGTTAGTCTATAATAATTTGTTTTTTAACTATCAGTGAAGTGGATGCCCGGGGTTTTCCATAATGTTCTTCATATTATTAAGATTTTTTTTATTATTATTGGTTTTCCAGAATCTGTTTTCTTTTTCTACCATTATTAAGAACTTTGACAAAAGCTTAGAAATTATCCTCTGATGTGAACATTATACAGTTATTACCTCATTAAATCTGTTTATTTTATTTATCTTTTAATAGAAAAGAAAAGGATTGGTGTTCTAATGTTGTGGGAAAAAAACAGATTGAAGCATAATTTACAAAACATTAACATATATATTTACTAGAGGGAGCTAGTTACATTTTATCTATAGTTTGACTTCTATGGTTTCCCAGTTTACTCATTTTACGTATGTATGTTACATATCAACCACAAGGGGGTGCTGCAGTAATGTCGTGTGTGTGAGAAATGCTTCTGAAGTCTGATCCTTTTTAACATATTCCATTTGTATCCATAACATAATATGTTCATTCTAAGAACTTTTTGTTTTTCGCTAGGTGGCTGCGGGGAGAGAGTGGTACATTCATGCCATCTATACAGTCCGTTCCAGGGACAATGCAAATCGGGGAATAGGGAAGAGAAGTCTGGAATATCATGTGATCAGCCAGGACCTAACAGGTCCTAACAAACACCATCGTGCCAGAAGATCTGCTAACAATGAACCTGACATAGTGGATGGAATCGGCGTGGAAAACAACCGCGGGACCAACATCTTGCACATCGCTTTGGACCGCAGCAGCCAGCAGAAGACAAGTCCAGAGAAGGAGATCTTCACAGAAGGAATCATTCCCCGTGAACTCAACCAGAGAGACAGTGATGACAGTCTGGTGTTAATCATTGGGATCTTTGTTGGATTGCTCCTCACTGTGCTTCTCATCGTTTTAGTGGTTTTGCTGGTGCGATCTAAGCAGGACAAGAAAGAAGTACCAAGGAACTCCAGCAGTACAGAACCCATGGTCACTCAAAACCTCAACAGCAATGACAGTTCTGAGGTCTAACACACCAATGACTGACACTTTTTTTGTTTTGTTTTTTTAAGTGCCTCACAGTTAACTGAAAAAAAATGTATTAAGATTTTTGTTTGAAGAAACACAAACTACAAAAGCTTTCATATTGTTCAGAAAAAACTACTTGAATTACTGCTTCACTTCCAAAGACAGGGAGTGGATTGAAAACTAAGGTGATGGACGTAATTAGCTGCTGTCTCAAAGTCCTCGTCAAGCTGTCAGCACTCACCGGCTGTTATCGATTGGCCTTGGCTGCCAATTGATCCAAAAATAAAGTATTATGTTTCCGATGGGGCTACAAGAGAACTGCTTACATATAATAGCTTTGGCTGAGGAGGTCATGAGAAACTGAAAATCACTTTGAAGTTATTAAGTATAGATTTTGTAAACACTGTTCATAATTAAATTTCACACATAAAAAAAAAATATCTTTTTTATCAAGAATGAGTTGTTTTTAGATTGGGTGTGCTTCAGACTTTCCCAGGACTTTGAGGTTTTAATATGTAAAATATTTGTCTGGTGTGGTCAACAAAACTTACAAGAAAACATTTCGATGAACATTTTAGTGTTTCTGTCTGTGCATGCTTTTAAGTTCTGTATTTTAAGATGTCTAACGGCTAATTTGACATGAATTTGTGAGAAATGTGTCTGACCTGCTGTTTTCTACCACATTCACACTGTATATTCTAATGTTTATCCATAATTAATTGTTTGCATTTCTCTTGATCTTTTGCGGTTGAAACACTGTAAAAAATTAGCACATGGCACTAAATCAAAGAAGAGCATTTTTTGGTATTAGAGAAGAATTAAGACAGCTGGTCTGCAGTCTACAGCTTATTATACTAACGGTTTAAAGAGAATACATTTTACACGCTTGACAGAAAAACTTGTACACTTTATTAGTATCACTGGTAGAGATTCGTAGATTACTGTGGCTCTAAAGCTTTGTGTCAGCTTTGCTGTTTAGTTATTTTTAATCATATTTCACATAAAGTGAATCAAATACTTCCCTTAAATCCCTTTTTTACAAATGATTATGTTAAGTTATTTTCAGTACGTCTTTTTAGGCACACATTTATGCCTTTTCTTTTTGCAATTAACTTTTATTTGAACATATATGTGTTATAAACATGGTGACATTTCCATTGAAACATGCTCTATTGTTTAAACTTTGTTATCTTTGGCCTTCATTACCATATCCTGTCTGCCGCAAAAGCTGATTACCTCTGCGTTACTTATTTTATAAATGCTTCGTCATCTGCAGTTAATTTTGAGATTGAAAACTGTTCTATGCAACATTTAGTCTAATACCTTTATTAAATATCACTGTTTATTTTCTTTGTTTTGCAATCATACTGCTACCTTACATTTAACCTTGTATCTACGTCTTGTGGTTGTTTAGCACATGCTCTGAGTGCATTCAAAGAGTTTTATGTATTTATGTATATAAATATCCCGGATTTTACATATTGATGTACCATTTGGAAGTTTTGGGAATGGTTATTGTTATAAAAGGCATACTGTATGTGCTGTAAGAATTTGTAACATAGACCTGAAATTCAACATGGTCTGCAAATAAAATAATTTTTCAAGAAACATGTTTTGAGTTTTGTATGGATTTTTGCAGAATAAAAAAAAACTTTTTGGCAGGTTTGATTTATGATGCAAACTGAACAGACTTTTAAAAAGTTACTAATTGCAGTAAAACTCAAATGTGAAACTTTACTAGAACTTTCATTTTAATATTTTGAGATTTTTTTTTAGCATCATAATAAAACTGGGAAGTTCATTTTATTTCCGTTTTTCTATTCAACAAGTGCAACTCGTAGATTTGGTACACAGTATGGTAGTTAAAGTGACAGGTTTTGTTCATTTTGACGATTATGGCTCTGTGCTGGATTCTCTTAGTGTTGAAATGAGGCTCAGAAATTATTTTTTGCTGGAAGGAATAAGTGATTAAAAAAGCTTATTCTAGACTAAAGTATAATCAAAGTACTGTCAACAGTTATTGTCAAGAGGAAGATAAGACACAAGAACAGACCTGGGAGATCTATTTAGAACCCTAGGTGTATCACCTTGATGCAATAAATAACTTAGATATATTATGCAAAAGAGGCCCCATGTAGCTACAGTAAAATAAACAGTGATACATTAAACTACTATAAATCATTTAACCTCTTTATGCTATTGTAATGTTTCAAGCTTTCTTTTCACTACAACCCAGATCAGGTCTGTTCTTCTAAAGGCATCAAACATAATAAGATGCATTACTATAGTTCAGTAAACCATGTGCTTTTATTACCAGTGCATATTCATAGAGGGAAAAAATATGGGTAAGGTGAAAAAACTTCATTAATTCTAAAAAAAAAAAAAAGGTTAAAAAGGAAAGCCTGACTCTCGAAAGACGTCAGTGCTTCCGTTTGGCAACAAGTCAAACAACAGGATTGGTGAATTAAAAAAAACAAAACAAACAAACCTCCAAAAATGACGTAACTGGTGATATTTGAGCTCAGAAAGCACCACAGAGTGAGAGACTAAAAGTCAGTGTTTAGATGACAAACACAGCAATGTGGATAACTGAGTGAAACCAGCAGCCTGTCTCGACCACATCCTCCTCCTCCTCTGCTGCTGTGTACCTCTGACATTACAGCAAATGAACCGGAGGGCCAGCAGTAGCAGCGACAACATTCTCTGTGCAGGAGTCTTCGCTTTGGACTTATTGTTTGGCATCATGAAGGAAGGAACTTCGGCAGAAAAGACAGGTAGCTTATTAAATTAGCATTCTGAGTGGAGTCTTAAGCATTGATGTGTTCACTAGCCAATCCCATCTAATGTATAGCAATGTACAGATTTTCTTTTTTTGTAAAGCCACAAAAATGCAGACCCCTTAAAACAGAATTCAGATCCCATTGCAAATGTTTTACTCTGCCAAATCAACATATTTTTCTCCATAAAACATTAAAAATTCCCAATGCTGTCTCACTATCTATCTAAACTTTGAAGGGTTTCCTGAGATTTGTGCAGTGTTATTGCATGAAAGCAGCACTTAATCAAAATTCAAAAATGTTAACTAATTTATTAAAAGTCATAATTCATTTTCAGATGTTAAACCCAAACATTTTTTCCCAACTATTTATTCTCAGAATCGAGCGGCACATCTGCACAAACCCTGGATCAGTGAATTCTGCTTCAAGGAAAACGTATCCCTTGAATGTTTGACGTAAAAAAAAAAAAAAAAGGAAAATAAAACACGTGAAGGCTGATCTAGTAGAAAAAAAAAATAAATTAGCAATTTACAACATTTCCCCTTTAAAACAACAGCTATAAACAACAACAAAAAAAGATATTGTGCTGCTCACATAAGCATTTCTATGACACTCATCTCTAATGCATGAGCTGGGTAAGATTCCAAAAAAGCTCCTTCTTTTGCAGCTGCCACATATGTAAACAGTCCAAGAATCCTTCATCTGCTGCGCTCTGAAAAAGCAAAAAAAAACAAAACTGCGTGTTTCAAAACCAAGCAGCACTTACAGAGTGATCTAATATACACAATGTACATTCATGTACAGCATATACAGTACATAGAGCAAACCAATGCACAAATGGTGGTTACATTTTTTCACGATAGATGCCAGTAAATGATAAATGTTTACGTGTCATTCCATTGCTGAAAAAGCAGAGCACTGTTGGGTAAAAACAGCTAATGTGCACTATGCAGTTGCCTGGGAACTGATAAAGAAAAAATAAGTATTTCATGCATCTTGAAAGGTCTGCGCTGATTAAATATTTTAGTCTATATCCTAAGGTGTACTGACAGCCTTGTTGTATAATATAACACAAAAATGCCTTTGAATATTCTCCGGAAAGTCCATGGATCTGTGTGAGCATTTGTCCCAAAAATGCTACATTACCGAGCTTGAAGAAAAAGAGAAACGACCCTCAATGCACATCATAAAAAGGTGAAACGGGTTGACGGTTACATCTGAGAAATATGCTGATGTGCACATCAAAAGGCTGCACTGGAAAATATCATTGCACCCTGTGGATTACATTTGTTGTGTCGTCAGTGCTCCGAGTGGTGGAGATGGCCTTCTGTTTCTACTGCAGGTAGCGGTAAACTTTAAAGCAGTGGTTTCCAGAGTCTGCCACCGCCACATGGCCGTCAGATGTGAGGGCCAAACCCTGAGGGCCATAAAGTGGATCAGCTGACGTATTAATGTAGGACAGGAAGGACCCTGAGCTGTCAAACACCTAGAAGAAAGAGAGCAAACTAATATTAACAGATATTATTTCCTTTTGATCTTATAAAGTCTGCATTCTATAGCTAACCTGGATGCGACTGTTTCCCCAATCTGCAACAATGATGTTTCCATTGCCATCGACAGCCACGCCTGTTGGAGCATTGAACTGGCCGTTCCCCTCGCCGTGGGAGCCAAATTTGAACAGGAACTCTCCATCAGCATTGTACACCTTTTAGCAGGATTAAATATACAAAAAGAAAAAAGAGAAGCGATGTTACTCATCCGGAAATCTACCTACAAAAAAGATAAAGCACATATGGAAAATGTCTGACAGGAAAAACCAGTCAGTTGAGACAACTGCTAGACTTCTGTTTTTTTTTGTCGGTTTGTTAGGTTAAATATCTAATTTTTACAGTTTAATGTGCAAATATAGTTTAAAACAATTAGTTTATTAGTTAATTAGTTCAAACTATAAATGCAAAAAGCAATGAACTGCTTATTGAGGGTTCCTATAGCTCGCTTTTATGAGACCTCTCTAGGTAAAGTTTGGAAACGTAAAGAGGCTTTTTATTTAATATTAAAGAAATGCCCTCCATCAAGGCATTTGAGGAGCCCTAATGTCTAGGTTAAAAATGTTCAGAACATACATAATATTCCCCTTTCCTGCTTCAATCTGATTCCCTTTAAACTCTTTGGAAGGCCTCATCATCAGCATGTTTGTAATTAATTTGGGGAATTTTAAAATACTGCTTTTTAATTATTTTTCTTTCAGGGTGGAATTACTACACCTGCTGTACAACTAAGGGATTTTTATAAACAAGAACCATCTGCAAAAGTATGAATTTCTTGTCTATTTTCCTTCCAAATAATACTGGCATGGTACACATAGACTCATAAATAGATAGTCCTGGCTGGGTATGTTACTGCTGTTGTTGACAGAATATACAGAGATTATGTGTATTGGTTGCTCCCAGAACTTTAGCCTAAATCTGAATTATAATTATTCATCCCAGAGCCATTCCCTTTGGGGTTTTTTATATTATTTAAGTTTATTTATTCTGTTTTTTTGTCTCTTATCCTGTCGATTCACCAAACTGAGTCACGTTTTACTCATCTAACTCAAACATTCACAATTTCTTGAAAGGAAACTGACTGAGATCCTCTTTTTAAGAACCTAGTGATCACCAAGGTTCCATAAACTAAAGAATGCTGAAGCACCAGGGCCCTGTCTATAGTGGAGAAAGTTCAGCATGGACATGAACAGCAAATATGTTTACTAATAAAGATGCTACAACAGGGGAAGACAAAAGAACAACAAACGAAAAATTTCAAGCTTGAATGTGGCTGCTCACATACAGTAGAGATCAAATGCCTTTTTAGAGCTTTTTAGAGAAAAGGTTTACAGTCAGTCAATTCGTAGCATATTGTTTGCAGGAGTTAAGGTAACCTTTCAAACCAAAGGATATCATCTCCTCTACCAAGCATGGTGGTGGAAGCATCATGTTAAAGTTCTAAGGCTGTATTACACAAAAATAGACAGGATAATGATGCAATTCCCTGCACCCCAAATTAACTTCTAGATGGTTGCAACATGGAGGAGTCAGAGTTTTAAAAGGACAAGGAGGACAGGCAAATGTTACAACTGTTTTTAAAATGAGTAAAACAAGCTAACATTAAGCTAAAATCAACCGTATCCAGAATTTAGGCTTAAACAATGAAAGAAAATGAGCACATTTTATAAAGACTTGTTGATGGCTACACGTGATAAGAAGAAACAAACAAAAAAAATACATATATACACTAAAGTAGAGTCATCTCTTGGGTATTTGGTCCAATATATAAAATGAAAAATGTATATTCATCATTATATCCCTAGAGGAAGATCACATTTAAGTTATGCATGTGTGCATAAAAAAACCCTTGAAATAGCAAACTACAGTAGTTTAAGGTGAGGTTTTGTGAGATATTTTCAATTGACATTAGGGAAAAGAGCCTTACCTTGACTGAATGGTTATGAAAGTCTGTTACCACAATCTCATTTTTGTTATTAACAGCCACAAAGTGAGGACCTGAAAACAGTAGAGCAAACAAAAAATAGAGCAACTAGTCATCACTAGATGTTCAACAAACAAGAGGAAGTTCCACAAACATGTTTAAGACAAAGATAGGAGAAACAATCAATGGGTGGATAAGAGAAGGACATGACGTATGAAAGAGTTGATTTATAATAAAGATTTGTTTTGTCCAGTTCAGGCTCATGAGGAATTCATTACTTACTGAAAAGAGGGCCAGATTTACTAAGCTTTGATTCCAATGCAATGTTTGCACCACTTTTCTCTAAAAGAA